AAGAAAGACTGGTGTTTGTTTATTGCACTTTGAAACCTTATTTATTTCTAACAAAGATGAGATTTATCTAATATGTCATATTACTAAATAATCAAAATTAACATCGGAGAAGAAATTAGGAACTGGCGTATTTCAAATAATGTTCAATGTTTATAAGATAAAATATCATTTGTTTTAGACCATTAAAGAAGTTGTTGTCAAGAATGATCTTTTTGTTGTGCGCGGCGGAAGTGGATTGCACGGGATGGTGGATGTGAAACCATTGAAACAATAAGAGGAAAATATGAAATACAAAAATCCAAACAACACCAAGGATTTATATTGGTTCAGTTCATGTATAGTCTACATCCAGTTCGAAGTTAGCTAGAAATGCCTATAGTATCCCAAAAGAGATTACAACCAAATGAGATTAACCCTCTAAACTATTATAGGAATTACAGAGTTTAACTCTCACAACCCAAATCCCAATTACACCCAATTCACTCTCAAGCTAACCACACACGAGCCAAGAACACCAAGAAGTTCTAGCTCACTAGGAAAGAACACACTAAGAACAATACAAAGAAATAAACCTCCGACAAACACAAGGAACAAATGAAGCTCAGGCTTGATCTTCCCTCAACATCTTGTGTAGCCAAAGAGGAGTTTATCTCCACCTTCATGGTGATGCTCTCTAGTGTTTCCCTCTATATGGAAGTGTCTCTCACTTATGATTTAAATTCTCTGAGAAATGGTGCTCACGGCACCTCCAAATGGTGAGGCACAAATTCCCACGCTTCCAATGCCTTAAGCCTCTCCCTTATAATAAAGAGACTCACCAACAGCTTCCACGTGAAAAGAAAGAAGCTAAACCATGTGCTGGAAGTCATCATTGTTGTTGACAGTTCCCTTTTTTTTTTTTTTGGATTGAGATATTTAGTTATATACTCAAAAAAAATGACAGCTGACCCAAGTTCAGAGCTAGAATATAAAGTATATCAAATATATATGATATAAAACTTACATGTTAGAGTTAAATATTTCAAACTTAATCATGTCTATATAATAATTTCTAATATATTATTATTAAGTGTATATAATATATAATATATAATATAGTAGAGGAGGGAGGTCAAAAATTGGGGGGCCAAGGCCACTCTTGGCCTAAGAGTGGCTCCGTCCCTAGCTGGCTCTATTGAATTTAATTTTAATTATTAAATTACTTTGATGCCTTATTAAGTGTTTTGATTTTTATTAGGTTTTGGGGTTGAACTTGTTTTAAGAAATCGATGTCAGTCTTGTAATTTATAAGTCCATTTCATATATCACATCCACTAGGTTTATGAATAAAAAACAAAGCCACCGAAAGCACTTGTGAAGCCAACAAAGTCAAGGTAGGTGCCTAACAAAACACATCTCATGCCATCAAATTTGAGCCAATTCCACAAAGAAAAGTAGAAGCTTGAAGAAAAGGGAATTGAGTATTGGCACTGCAAGAGATCTCTTTTGGGAGAAAAATTTAATTGCAATGGGGACAACATTGTTTTGCTATTATCGATCGATAATGTTGTGCTACGCGGATGTGTTATCATGTGTTCATAGCGTTATTTACTGAAAAATAGCAAAATAGTTCTATCCTCATCTCATGAAAGTCTTCCACTTTTGGAAATGTCAGTGGGATACATAATACGTATCTGTAATAAGTAGCACCAACATTCATCTTTCTCTTGGCCATCGTTTTTGACTTTTTTGACTTACAGCCAAAAAAGTATTGTCTTCTTTCATTTTTTCTTCTTTTTTTTTTCTTTTTTTTCCTTTTTTTTTTATAGGATTTTTTCTATTAAGAGGGTCAATAATATACTAAACTAATACACTACACAGATGCTAGGACTCGAACTTAGGACCTTACCTGAAGGAGCAATTACTCCAAACTACTATACTAATGGGTCCTTGCAATTTCTTCTTTCTGTGTCTTATCTAGATTCCATGATCTTAGAGCATCTGCAATGATGCTCTCTATTTCTTAGCTAAAATTTAGCTAAAAATATAAGAAAGCTATTTTAGGAGCTCTCTAAAAAAATTCAACTCCAACCATACTCCCTTATTTGGAGAGGCATAAATGCTATAACTCTTTTTTGATTGGTCCATCTCTATTAAAAAATAAAATAAAAAATAGTTAGCATTAAATAAAAGTTTGAAATACTTATTAAATAAGGCAGCATTAAATTATAGGGAGCCACTAGTAGTACTTTCTCTCTCCTCAGATTTAGGAGCTCCTAGAGGACTCCCTATTTTAGGAGGTGGATAGGGAGCATGGTTGGAGTTGCATTTTTACAATTCCTCCCTAAAATTTGTCTAAGGAGGTGGTTTAGGGAGCCCATTGCGGATGCTCTTAGACATGTAAAAAGGGAGGGGAAAAAATTCACAAAGCTTAAGTTAAACAAAAGAGGAAGAGAAAGAGAAAAATAAAATTTAGGAGTTTTAGTGTAAATATCATAACCTAACCTAGAAGATTTAAGGGAAAGTAGAAAATGATTAAGAAGTTTTATGGTTAATTTGTAGACAAAAAGAACATAACATATTATTTATTTTAGAGTAAATATCCCAAAAATAATTTAATATATTATAATATTATATATCATATATAATATATAATATATATTAATACAAGGGGTGAAAATATTGAGGGGGGGCTTGAGACCACTCAGGTTCGTACATGAATTTTTATTACTATCCCCTTGGCACAAGCGTTCTAATTGGTTTTTTAAAATTTAAAATTTAATTTTAGAATTTAAAAAGATAATGAGTAGTTGTGTTTCATAAAAATAAAAATAGAAATCTCTCAAAAAAAAAATAAAAATAAAATAAAAATAGAATTTATTATCTAAATTTCTTTTTAATATAAAAAATGTGAATTTAAACTTTTAAGCCTAATTGTTGACACCAAAAGTCTTGCTAGTTTCCTAATGACTTTAAACTCTTCAACAAAATGTTTTAAACTTTTAAAAGTTTTTTGTCTCTCTCCTATCTTCACTCTGCATCATCGTTGTCACCAAAGGCCACTCACCCACATACTCCTCCATCTTCTTTCCTGGGTGAACTCTCTTCACTCCATAAAAATTCCCCTCAAACCAATATGGGAGTTCTCTTCAATATGTGAGACACAAAAATCTTAAAGAAAGGAAGGAGATCTGAAATCATTTCCCCACAAAGAAAAACCAAGTATCTGAACTTTTTTCCCTCCAAAGTGTTTCTCATCAAATCGATCATGGGGGTCTTTCATAATATTTTTTATCCCAAAATGAAATAGTACTTGAACTTCATGTTTTTGGAGGTAGATTCTTTCGTATGAACAGATTTTGTGTTATTCAATCATCATTAGCAATTCAAAACCATAGTTGCAATTAGTGTATCTGCAACCATAGTTGCAATTAGTGTACCTGGCTCAGCATACAAAACGCAAATGTTAGTAGATAAAACTCTATAAAACTCGTGATAAAAGTCATTACAAGTTTGTCACTTACCTTTATAAACTCTATAATAGTAATTAAAAATCTTTAACTCTATGAAAGTCACTCACTTAAAAAAAGTCATTATAAGTATGGATTGAATATAAGTAATTTGTTATTTTTCAGACCAAAAAAAAAGAAAAAGTAATTTGTCATTTTCAGACATATAAATATAAATATGTATAAGCTAATGTCTTTGCGGTCCCAGAAAGAGGAGGGAGGCACGACAAGAAGCTGAAAGGTAAGTAAGCTAATATCTTTGCGCTGAACATGGAGAATCACGTGATCACCGCAGCAGAGCAGCCCAGCAACGAAGCCAGACTGGGCATACTGGAGCTGGCCAACATGATCAGCGTCCCAATGTCCCTAAACGCCGTCGTTCATCTCAATGTCCCCGACGCCATCTGGCAAGGCGGCTCAAACAGCCCCCTCTCCGCCTCCGCCATCCTCGCATCTGTGCTCCCCGACGGAGGCGGCGACGCAGAGAACCTCCAGCGCATCCTCCGCATGCTCACCAGCTACGGTGTGTTTGCGGAGCACCTGATCAAAGCCGACGATGACGGCGGCTCCCAGCAAAGAAAGTTCTCCCTCACCGAGATTGGTAAAACGCTCGTCACCGACCAAAACGGTCTGTCGTACGGTCCTTACATCCTCCAACACCACCAGGTTTTGTAATTTTACTAGCTCGTTGACACAAGCTCACTCGGGTGTCAATTGATTTTTTATTGTTTTGTTTTGTTTAGAATTAATAAAGAAAAAATTGGTGTAATTGTGTTTTTTTTTCTTCTAGGATTTTGTTTAGTACAAGTTAAAGTGGTGTATTGAATTTGGATTGTATACGATTTTGAAAGATTTTTTTTAAGTGATAGATTTTCTGGAAGTGTAAAACTCCTATAAGTTTTACACGGATTTTTAATAAACTTGTAGACTTTTATTATAGACTTCCATACTTTTGTATGAACTTTTGTTATAGATTCAATGTATTTGCATGACTTTAGTCACACTTTCTTCCTAACACTTATTTTTTGGCCAAACTATGGAAGAATTTTCAACACGTTTGTGTATGAGGATGCGTTTGGATCAAAGTTTGTTTTTGCTCAACTGTGCTTAATCTTGAAGGAGGATTTTTTACACAAACACAAAAAAATGTCATGGGTTTTCTATTAGACTAGACTCCGTTGGCGGTGTAATTAGATTTTATGAAAATATCACCGTATTATCATTTTGTTTTTATTTTAAAAAAATTAATATAAAAAATTGTTAATCTATGATATTATCCAAATTTGATGAATATTTATTTTCATAATAATGTTGATTTTTCTTTTTGAAGGATGCGCTAATGGGGGCGTGGCCTATGGTGCATGAGGCTGTGGTGGACCCCACGGTAGAGCCGTTCGTGAAAGTGAACGGTGAGCCGGCGTACGAGTACTATGGGAAGAAGCCGGAGATGAATGGCTTGATGCAGAGAGCAATGTCGGGTGTATCGGTGCCGTTCATGAAGGCGATATTGGACGGCTACGATGGATTTGAAGGAGTGGGGAGATTGGTTGATGTGGGTGGGAGTGCAGGGGATTGCCTGCGGATGATCCTACAGAAGCATCCTAGTGTTCGGGAAGGTATTAACTTTGATTTGCCTGAAGTCGTTGCCAAGGCACCAACTATAGCTGGTGAGATTAATTACTGTGTTTATCATTATTAAAATCTCAAATTCAATATATGCGTTAGTTAATCATCTGTTAAATAAATCTTATTTTGGCAAAATCTTAAAAATTATGATAATATATTGCATTAAAAATCAGTCTTGTGTGTAGATTTTTTCGCCTAATTCTCTCGATCCATCTGCATTTGCCCTTCGTTTCTTCAATAATTACTTTCGCCTTTTCTCGTATTAAAAAAAAAATTCAGTCCTATGTTAACCCAAATGAGCTCATGTATATGTTAATGATTTTTGCAGGAGTGAGTCATGTTGGTGGTGACATGTTCAAGTCAATTCCCAGTGGAGATGCTATTTTCATGAAGGTAACGTGCAAACCCATTAGGTTAGGAAAAAACTGTTTTTTTATTTAAAACATACAAATGGAGAAAACTCATTTGATCATATTCTTCTAAATTTTGAATAATGATAAAACAGGGTAAGAATTACTGAACAATATACACACACATATATATATATATAAGTAAGATCATCCATGTACTTTCTAAACTTCAGCATATTCTTCTTCCATATTTACCCAATCAAACCAAATTGCTATACTTGAAAGCATATCCTTCTTCCATAGAAAAAAACAAGAAAGCATCTTTCTCAATATATTTTATGACTCATTATAACTATTTTAAATGCATCAATCATGATGAACAAGATTATATATACACACACAGAGCTTCTATTGAGGGATTCCTCATATAAACTTATTTGAGGAATATCCTTGTAGAACATAATTGAATGTTGAAACGGTTTCCGATTTGTCTAATTTTTTATGAGAATGATCTATGAATGTAGACTTAAAAATAGATAGTTTGGATCATTGATAAACACTTCATATATATATATATATACATATGTTCTAGGCTTCTAGCTCTAAGCTTTCCAAAATGAGTTAATGTTTCCTTTATTTGATTTTGAGTTCATAACACATCATTTGTTCAACAAATTGTTAGCTAAATTAAGAATAAGAACAAAAAGGAAACCTTTGGTTTTAAACCATCAAATTTCATTTCACCACAAAGAGCTAAATACAAGAAGTAAAACACAAAAGGAGGGTCGTTACAAAGTAGAGAACCACAAATTTAATAAGGCAATGAGCCGGGTGTTAAAATATGATCAAAGTTTTGATCGGTTTCTAGTGAGCCGGATTTGAGTTTTGTGTAATGAATTTGCTCATTATCTTGTACAATTTGTAGTTCTTTGAGTTTTGTGTCAAATTTATGTAGTGATTAGAAGGTTAATTATCATGATTATTATTATTAATACATTAATTGTATCACTTGGCAGTGGATTTTATCAACATGGACGGATAGCGAATGCAAGCTGATCATGGAGAATTGTTACAAAGCACTTCCAGTAGGAGGGAAGCTGATAGCTTGCGAGCCAGTGTTGCCAACAAAATCAGATGACAGTCGTAGGACGCGTGCCCTCCTAGAAAACGACATATTCGTGATGACAATCTACAGGGCCAAGGGCAAGAATCGGACTGAGGAAGAGTTACGGCAGCTTGGTCTCTCTGCTGGCTTCTCTCACTTCAGACCAATCTACATCGATTATTTTTACACCCTCTTAGAATTCCAAAAGTGATAAAGTTGATGCAGCACAAGCAAATAGGTTACGAGCGTAACTTAGAAAAGAACATAAGATTGGAATCCACTAGAAAGTTGGAGAGAAAATTCTCACTGTTTGTATTATTTGATAAAAGATGAGTTTAGTTCAACCATGCATGACGGCTGACTAAATACATTGTTCTCACCTATTGGACTGCCCTAGGGAGTTATTGAAAGCTTATCAGAAAATAAATGGAAAGTCTGTAAATTGAATACAATATTTAAATGCACTTTTGGAAGCCCAAAATCCACCTTATGTCACAGCAAGACAGTGAGTTGGACTTGTGGCGTCGTTCCCTTTTTGAGAAGGTATTATGCAACCCAATCGGAGCTCAGACGCCTAATTTGTAAATTCCTGCTGCGTCCTTTTTCCCTCGCTCCAATTCTTCTTCAATCTATTCAGTCATTTGTTCTACATCCGTCTCTTTCACCTTAGAAGAACTCGAGCCCGAGTTATGCTCAGGATAAAGAGCTTTATCCTCACGAAACTTATACAAATCAGCAACATTAAAAGTATTGGAAATACCCATGTAATTTGGTAATTCAACAACATAGGCATTGTCATTGATTCACTTCAGCACCTTGAAGAAACCATATTTCTTAGGTTTCAACTTGCTACATGTACCAACATGGAACCTCTCCTTCCTTAGAAACACCATTACAGATTCGCCTTCTTGAAACACTTTAACTCGCCTATGCTTATCTACCGCAACTTTGTACTTAGCGTTAATTTGCTCAAGTTTGTGCTTAACTTCATCACGAACAACCACCACTTCTTCAGCCAAATTCTCTGCAGCAACACTTGATTTCTTGTCCTCCAGGCAACTTCACTAAGTCTACAACATGATCAGGCACAATAATATAGACAATGGAGAATGGTGACTTTCTGGTTGCACTATGAATAGAACTGTTATATGCAAACTCCACCTGTGGCAGTGCATAATCCAATTGCTTCGGTTTCTCCCCGCAAATGCTACAAACCATATTTCCCAATGTTCTATTTGTCACCTCAGTCTGCCCATCAGTCTGAGGATGGGTAGTACTACTACGGTTCAAAGTAGTTCCAAACAACCTCCACAAAGTAATCCAAAAATGGCTAAAAAAATTTGTGTCACGATATGAAGTTATTGATTTAGGCACCCCATGCAAGCAAACCACCTCCCTAAAAAATAGCTTGGCTATATTGGATGCATCAGCAGTCTTCTTGCAAGCTATGAAGTGTACCATTTTAGAGAACCGATCCACCATCACGAAAATTGAGTCCACTCGTCTTTGTGTACGCGGTAATCCAGGAACAAAATCCATAGCAAGATCCTGCCAAATGTCATTTGGAACAGGTAAAGGCATGTATAATCCGGTCTTTTGAACTTGTCCCTTCGAAACTTGGCAAGTGTAACATTTTTGCACAATTGTTCCGACATCTCGCTTTAACTGTGGCCAATAGAATCTCTCCTCCAAGCTTGCTACTATTTTGTTGCGGCCTAGGTGACCACTGAATCCTCCTCCATGCAAATCCTGAATAAGCTTTTCCTTTAAGGAAGAAACAAGAATACATAACTGATTTTCTTTGAACAAATACCCTTCATTAAGAAAGAAATCTGCCATCGGCTCATGATTAGCACACTTAGCACATATCTCTTTGAAATCATCATCCGCGTCATATAAGTACTTCAAACATTCGAACCCCATAATTTCTTGAGTAAGAGTAATTAGCAAGGAAGCCCTTCGACTAAGCTCATCAGCCACACGGTTTAAGGTGCCAGAAGTATGTTTGATAACAAATGAGAACTTTTGCAAAAAAAGTCACCCATCTGATATGCATCTTATCAACATGTTTCTGGCCGTTAATAAACTTCAAAGCTTGATGATCTGTAAACAAAACAAAATCTTTCTGAATAAGGTAGTGTTCCCACTGCTTCAAAGCCCTAACAACTGCATAAAATTCTTGATCATAAGTACTCTATTTCTGACGGGCTTCGCTTTACTTTTTAGAAAAGAATGCTATTGGTCTCATATTTGGAGAAAGCACGGCTCCTACTCCACTAGCATCACATTCAACTTTGAACACCTTTTCAAAACTTGGAAGCGCTAGAACCGGAGTGGTGCAAAATTTCTCTTTTACAAGAGTAAAGCTTTTTTCTTGTTCTTTCCCCCCAATTGAATTTGCCTTTCTTCAAACATTCCGTAATAGGCGCAGTGATGGTGCTGAAATGCCTCACAAACCTCTTGTAAAAAGTGGATAATCCATGGAAACTTCTAACTTTGGAGACTGTTTTGGGAGTCAGCCAATCAAGGATTGCCTTAATCTTCTCGTCATCCCCATGGATACCCTTTTCACCAACCACAAAACCGAAAAACAACTGCTTACTTGTGCAAAAAGCACATTTTTTCAGATTCACATACAACTTATTTTCTTTCAATACACCTAAAACTTGTCTCAAATGCACTAGATGCTCTTCTATGGAGGTGTTGTAGATTAAAATATCATCAAAATAAACTACAACAAAAGAGCCAATAAATGGACGAAGAACCTAATTCATAAGTCTCATGAAAGTGCTAGGCGCATTTGACAATCTGAAGGGCATCACCAGCCACTCGTATAATCCTTCCTTGCTCTTGAACGCTGTTTTCCACTCATCACCCGGCTTAATGCGAATTTGGTGGTATCCGCCGGGCAAGTCTATTTTGGAAACGCGAGATGGGAAATCTGCATTTAACTGTAATTTTATTGATTGCTTGACTATCAACACACATACGCCAATTTTTTGTCTTTTTTTGGGACTAAAAAGACTAGAACTGCACAAGGACTCAAGCTCTCCCTAATAAAACCCTTCCTTAACAAATCCTCAATCTGCTCTCTTAGAATTTCGTTCTCCTTAGGACTCATATAATAATGTGGCAGATTTAGTTGGCTAGCTCCGAGAACCAAATTAATGCGATGTTGTATGAAATAAAGTCCTGAAAGGGGGCAGTTCATTCGGTAGATTGTCTGAAATAAGTTCTTGAAACCCTTTTAAAATCTATTGCACTTCATGAGGGATTACAGTTTCTTCCTTGCTAGCCTTTAAAAATCCTTTCAACACCATTGGACAAAAATATTCAACTTCTTTCACTGCCTCATTAAGTTCTTGCTCACTGCTTATCAGAGTTAGAAAACTAGAACTCTTAGTTTTGGACTCACTTGTCCTTGTAGACGCCATAGAAATTTTGTGACTCTTCCAGGAAAACAATATTGCGCTATCTCGACCCTTAAAAGTTGCATCCACATCATATTGCCAAGGTCGCCCCAACAAAATATGACATGCATCCATATCAATTATATCACATACGACATCATCTTTATAATTCTTACCAATGGAAAGAGGCACATGGCAAGTCTCGAAAACATGAACTGAAGGTCCTTTTTTTAACCCAACTCAACGAGTAAGGACTTATATGCGGCTTCGTAGGTAGCTGCAATTGCTCCACTAATTTTTTTGACACAAAATTCTCACAACTCCCGTTGTCTACAATCATATCACAAACTTTATTATTGATGGAACAAAGAGAACGGAAGATGCTATGTCGCTACCCTTCATCTTTTGGTGCCAAAAGAATTCGCTGCAATACCAAAGTAAGTCTTTCCATTCCCTCCTCAATTGTAAACTCAGCCTCTGCGTAATCATCGTCTAATGCTTCGTCTTCTTCTTTAGTATCACCAACTTCTTCAAATAAATTAGCTTGTCTCCGCTCCGGACAAATGTTGGAACGATGCCCTGGTTTGTAGCATCGGTAACAAATATTGGTCATGGGCTTGGCATACGGATTCTCTTTCTGGGGTTGGTTCCGGGTCTGCACCCTAAAAATTATTTTGATTATAAAATAAATAAAGTATTTTGTTGAATGGGCAATGCCAAATGGGCACTTAAAACCACTTATAAAGTGATTCTCCATGGAAGTGATTATTGGCCTATTTAGAATCACTCCCAAATGAGTCCTTAGTCTTTTTTATTTATTTATCGAGAGAAGAATTTCATTCAACTGAAGCAACATACAAGAGGACTAAAAAAGTGGCATGTAGTCGCTTATAAGGTGAGGTGTAAACACACATTTAGGTTTGAATTCCTTACCTCTAGTCACCAAATATCAACCCTTAAACCAAAAAATCAAAAGAAAACTCTAAACCTTGAATTTAAGTACCAGACTATAAATCTTGGATCTATAACTAAGTTGGAGTTTTGAAGCTTGAATGTCAAAAAAAAAAAAAAAAAAAAAAAAAAAAAAAATAAAAGCCCAACCCAAAAGAAAGTTAACCCACCTTGAAACCTAAACAACGGTGAAAACCCGACCCACAATAAAATCCGAAGCCCAGACGTTTATTTTTTATTTTTTATTTTTATTTTTTTTAATTTAAAAAAAAAATGTGCATTGGGAGTGCAAAGAGTGTGATTTCTGAAAGGGAAGAGCGTGGTCCCTGATGCCTTGGTTCCTGGGGAGTCCCTGATGCCTTAGACAAAACCCTAATTTCATATCCAACATCGCTTACTCCAAACTTGAACCCTAACCACTAAGTTAACCCTAAGAGATGGCTTTGAGTTTTTGAGACTCAAGATGGCTCAAACCCTAAGAGATCGCTTACTCCAAACGTTCAAGTATCAAATCTTGAACGGCCTTTTAGAGATGGCTTTGAGTTTTTGATTTTATGTTCCTTGTTGAATTATTTGTTTGATAAGCCTTTATTATATTTAAGAAATAGGTATTGATGAGTATCAATATATATATAGTCCGATTCTTTTTATATATTTTTGTTCAAAACTTTCTTCTAGTAGGTCCTATTACTAATTTTGTATGGAGCCCCTAAAATCTCAGAACGGCTGCTAGTTTTGAACTCTTGATCATTAGGCTCAAACCTCATCTCAAACTCTAAACATTGGACCTTAAACTTTAGGGTTATTCGCAGCAATGGTCCCTCAACTATACCCATAGTTACACTTTGGTCCACCAATTCAATTATTAGTTGCGGGGGTCACTCAACTCTGTGTTCCGTTGCACCAGTAGTCCTTCCGTCAACTCTGTGACATTTTCCGTTTAAAATAATGACGTGGCAAGCATCTTAGAGCACGAGTGATGGGCAAATGTGACTTTTTGCTTAATTAATACGAATCTTTTGCTTTTGAAGAGAACGAAAGGTTCAGACCAAAAAAAAAGAAGAAGAGAACGAAAGGACGACAGAAATTGCAGTCTGAGCAAAAGGGAAAAATCGCGAAGGTAGAGAATCTAGGGTTTTCAAATCGAGAGGTATTTGACTTAAGTAGCGAAGGATTTAGAG